ATCTTTCAAGTCTTCTTCCACTTTATTCTTCTCCATGCACTCTGCCATCCAGTATACCAGCCTACTCATTCCTTAAACACAACACTTTATCCCTCAACTCTTTGTCTTTTCCTTGGCTGGCCCTCATGCCTAGATTGCCCTCCTTCCTCACCTCTACCTCTCTGTTTCCTTGACTCCCTTCAAGTCTTCACTCTTTCTTCAGCTAGTAAGTGTCTGAAGCCCCATTTGAACTCAGGTCTTCCTGACTCCAGGCTCAACCCTCTAGCTGTGGCTAGAGAGCATTAAAACTATCTTATTTTTTTTTCATTTGGTATGTCCTTGGACATCATACTAACTCTTAAGTGAAGTTGTAACTAACTGGACAATCACAGAATCACTGTGGCCCTTTAGTCCAACCCATGTCCCAGAGGAATTTCCAGTATAGCGTACTTGAAAAGTGGTCATCCAGTCTCCCCTTGAGGACCTCCAACAAGGGATAACCCATCACTTCTCAATGAAGACATTTTCACTTTTGGAGAATTCTAATTGTTAGGAAAGTTTTCCCAACATTGAATCTAAACACGCCTCCACTATAATATCCATCCATTGCACCTGGCACAAAATGAGTATTATTTCAATGTTAACTTCTTGTTGTTGTTGTTGGTGGTGGTGGTGGTGGTGATGAGACAGAATGATTACATATATGTATCCCGGAGTCCTCAGGGAGCTGAACCTGTGTAGCAGATAAATTAGTAGAGAAACCTGTTTTTCCTTCCCTGTCACCTTCCACAAGTAACCTGATATGATAGGCCAAGTACTCAAATGTGCACATATGTTTTCTATTTCAGAAATTATTTATTGGACACCTGCCGTATACTTAACACCACTTAGGTACTGTGGGGAACATAAAAGAAGCAAAACCAATGGTTCTTGACCTTTATTTTTTTATGACTACTAACATGTCATCAGTTATGAGTTCAGAGAGTATATCCCCTGGATACTCCATTGTTCCTACTTCCATTTTTATTTCTAAAAAAAAAATTCATAGCACCTGGTCAGTTTGGGGGTTTGGGTCAAACTCTTCTAAGTAACTTCAGTTAAAAATTCTTATGGAGAATATATATATATATATATATATATATATATATATATATATATATATATATATATATATATAACTATTTGTCAAGATTTAAGCAATACAACTAAAAATTGAGTTGAGAAACTGATTTTGTTTTCCAAATTGACTTTCCCACAACCTCATAAATAGAAATTAGGATGAAATATGAGAGGGTGAGGAAACATGAGGACAAAGGTCATCTGTAACCACTGATATTACCAACTGAACATTAATGTATCACATACCAAAAAGGCTGCTGTTTTACCGTGTGTAATAAAATAATTTACATTTCTTAACTTTTATGAAGCAGACCTTTGGTGGATTGTTGATTTCACTTGCTAGTACTATTCCCAAATGGTTGAGTGGGCAAACCCACAGAATAGGCAAATTAAAACATCCATGTTGTATCCGTGATTACCTACTAGTTTTTAAAAGTCTCATGATTACTTAAATTCATGTACTAAACCACCCTCGGGTGATTTAAATCTCAAGGGCAATTCTCTACAATCAGCACAAATTCCTATTTCCTATGCCAGTAGATGAGCTAAAAGATGAAACATTCCCACTAGTGATTAGGGCTTTGGAAAATGTCTCAGTGTCCCTTCCCAGATGCTGTCAACTCCAAAGTCTCCTAATTCTTAAGGAATTTTAATGTTGAAATTTGAGCCAGATGTCGGCCAATTTCATTGGCTCATTGAAATTCTTAATTATCTTGTGGAAATGGATTGGGTTTGTTGTTGTTTTTACTGTAAAACTTAATTTTTATAAGGATGATGGTTGAATTTTCACACTTAAAATTGTGAAATCAGTCTAGTGGCAGATGGCTGACACTGGAGAAGTTTTCTGTATGTATATTCATTTGTATAGCATAAAAGGAAGAGGGAAACACACAAAAGTGTCACCAGTAGATGCCAAGAAAATGTTAGGAGGTTATCCATAGAGCTAAAAGAAACCAAATATTTTCCTTCTAATTAGAAAAGCTTGTATTGTGCTCTAATGACACACTAACCAGCTTTGAGGACAAAGGTACTTTGGCTCTCATATGACTGTCATACTCTTTCTTGAGCTATTGGCCAAATAATATATTTTGTACGTAGAGATAGCTACAAGAGGAAATAACATCTAGACTGTCAGGAAATAACATCTAGACTGCCAACACCTGCCAGACTAAAGTTATTGTAAGTGATATCTTGCATACCAAGCAGGAGAGAGAAAATACTGACTATAAATATATGGGGACAGCATTTTCCCAGGCAGAGCTAGGAACTATATTGGCAAGACTTTCTATAGAAAGCCCAACTTATAGCTGAAAAGTAAAAAAGGCATTTGAATTGTCCGTGTGAAAACTCAGTGATGCCACCCAGTCAATTAGTGAAACTCATCTCTGACTAAATCAAGTGAATGATTTTAGGCTTTTTAAAACCACTGATTCCTCTTAGGCAGGTTTTCCTCTCCTTCACACTCTTATCTTACTAATGGAAAGGACCATAACACTTCCACCCAGGGGTATGCCCGCAATAATCAAGAACCAGTCAGAGACTACCCCAAAACTTCTATTTTAAGTCTGTTCTCATAGGGCCAGTGGGGAGCAAGTCTAGCCTGAGAACAATTTCGAGCCACCCCATTCATTCTGATTTAGGCTGATCAGTACTAGCCCGAGAATAGCCACAGGTGTCAGGTCTTTCCCCATTCCTTCCTTCAGTGATGGGGGGGGGTTTCACTTTTATCTGCAAAAACATAGTGAAGGGGAGAACTGAAACAACAAAATTTCCTGTTGTCTATGTGTTTTACGGCCAAAGTAGTTGAGGTCCTAAATTATCCAGATGGTTGCTCTTAATTTTCTACCTTCATGGTCTGTACGAGGGGTTCACAATACAATTTTTAAATTGAGTCCATGTGACCTGAATTTTCTTTACTTGTTAATTTCCCTTTAAAAGCAGTTCACATCCATTCTACTTATCGTATTCCAAGCATGAAAATGCTTTTTCCCTCCTAGAAGATCCCTTTGTCCTATTTGTTTCCATTATGTCCATACATTCTTCATTGGAATTCTTATTCTCTTCCTTTCACCCAATCATCTGAAGTGAAGGAAAGAGTAAATATCTTCTACTTTTAGGATTCTACAAAATACAATTTCAGCAACATTACAGAACTATTACCTAGTGACCATAATATATTGTTAGTACATGGTGGTCAATATGTGATGTGATTATGACATCAAAGTCCTTTTAGGCCCCAATGGAAATAGATGATTCCATTGGCTATGTGGTATGTGCTAATTACTTTTCAAATGACTTAGTTTCATTGTCTGACAGAAATCTTGAGCTGTCATTGTATGTGTTGCTCTTCCTGCTGCTTAAAAATATGCTTTCCTTATTCACAGACTCCTGGAATCTCAAAATGCTAATGGACTTCAAAGTTTATCTAGTTTACCCCGTGTCTGAGCGTGAATCCCCTTTACAACATCCCTGATAAAAGACCTCCATTGTTCAGCAACTCACTACCTCCCAAAGCAGCCCATTCCACTTTCGGACAGCTCCCCTAAGTAGTTCTTCCTTATAGGCAAGGAGATGAATGAGATGACCTCTAGAGCACCCCTTGCTGTGATGTCACTTTTCTCATCTATTAACTCATGAGAATCTCACAACACCCTCTGAGAACTGGACAGAACAGATGCTTTTCTCCCCTATTATAAAAATGTGGAAACTAAAGGAAACTCAAGGGCTACGTTCACACAATACCGAATTGAGAACAAGTTCATTAAAATCGGTTGCATAAATGGGTTTTCTCTGTCTTTAACATCTGCATTTTTCAGAATCTATTGATGTCACCTCTCAGCCATGGGCTGAGAATCTCAATCTCAGTCTCAAACCTAGTCTACTACTTAAGCCTTTTCACAAATATTTACCAAGCATCAACACTGTGCACTTAAACACATTCCCACTTTGTGCTATAATTTTTAGTTTAATTCTGAGAAAATCAAGAATTGTGTATGCAGAATGGGAATTTCTGTCTGACTTAAATTTTATACCATTTTACACTTGGACATTCTTGGAATGCTTAATGGAATTGTTATGGTAATACTCATTGGAGAGGTATATACCAAACAGCCTTTATTCCAAAGCAATTTCTGCCTTTTCCTACTCCTATAATAAAATCTAGGAAAGTGAGCATAAGGTACTTTATAACATTTTGTGTAAAAACAATTGAGTTTTTTTATTTGAATATATTACTTAATTGATTATTATGATGGAAAAGGGGAATTAGATATTTTAAAAATCCTCATTGACCAAGGAAACAATGGTTATTTTAACATAATCAAGACAAGTTCTTCTAAGACACACTGTTTTCCATAACTGTAGATATGGTTCATAATGATTCCTAAAATTCCATTGCTCTTAATGTACTTATTGGTAATTCAAATAAACGATTGTTGATCCTTAATTAAGACCTTGAAGATGTTACGTTAGTGTCACCCTATGATGTTCTCAGAAAAAAAAAAAAACTAACAGCTTCAATTACAACATTGATAATGTGTTTCATAATTATTCTCTTACTATTATTCCTAATTGTTTAGTGAAATGCAGCAAGGAATATTAAAAGTGATAATTCAGTGTGCTTAGAGGACAAGAGAGATTCTGCCATAATTTTCAGCAAAACTCTGGGTTTTTAGTTGCTAAAACAGCTTATCCATCTGCATTACCAAAGACTAGCATTGATATTATCACTCTCATAAAAGAAAAATTGGAATTTAATAAACAATCTTCCTGTTGATGCTGAACAAACTAAAATGCTATTCTTCTTTTATATCCCTTGCAATTAGTAAGAGACTTCACTGTAGCTTAAATAAATTAAACCCAAAATCTTTTTGTAAAGAGTTACTCCTGAACTTTTTCCTCAGGTCGGGTGGCAATTAAAGAACCTAGTGAGCATAATGAAAGAAGACCCACGTGGAGCCCGCGTGACCCTAAAGAAGCATCCTCAGAACATTACTGGTAATTCTTCTTCAATTGTGAAGAATGTGAGGTGGGAACCTCATCCACTTGAGGTAAGAACTTTATTAAGCTCCAATCTCTTCTCCATAAGCTCGCCACTGTTGGATGAGCATGAAGACATGCTCATTTTCGTTTAGTTGAGGTCAAGTTAGCATACCGGCAATATTATAAATAAGAATAATCACTGATATTTACATAGCACTTTAAGGTTTGCAAAACTTTTGATATACATTCTCTCATTTGGTCATTATACTTTGTGTGGTAGGTGCTATTATTATCCCCATTTTACAGATAAGAAATGAGGTTTAGAGGGGTTAGGTGATTTGTTCAGGCTCATATACCTAGAAAATATCTGGAGTATTGCAACACAAGTAATTGGAAGGCAAGGGCAGCTAGGTGGCACAATGAATAGAGTGCTGAGCTTGGAGCCAGGAAGACTCATCTTCCTGAATTCAAATCTGGCCTCAGACATTTCCTAGCTGTGTGACCCTGGGCAAGTCACTTGACCCTGCTTCCCTCAGTTTTCTCATCTCTAAACAGAACTGGAGGAGGAAAGGGCAAACCACTCCAGTGTCTTTGCCAAGAAAACCCTAAATGAGGTCACAAAGAGTTAGACATGACTGAAATGACTGAACAAAAACAACACTGGCAAAGCTTCAACAACAACAATGATAATAATTGCTATTATTGTTATTGTTATTATTATAGGAGGCCACATAGTATATAGTCAGAGGATCAAGAAGCAGTTTCAGCATCAGAATAACTTGGGTTTTCTTTGCTCTTCTGACACATCCCAGTTGTGACCCTGAACAAGCTGTTTGACCTCTCAGGGTTTAGGCCCTAAGACTGGCAGTCACAGAATACTTGTTTATCTCCATTGGTAGAGAGAATTTCCTCATTGTGGAGCTCCCTGTACTGATCCAATCACAGGTTCAGACTAACAATAATAATAATGATGAAAATGAAGAATTAAGGACCATGTTTTAGTGACCTTTTAAGAGAGGCAGCATGGGATAGTAGAGAGGGGGCTGATGTTAGGGTTAGGCAAGCCCTGAGTTTAACTTTGGCCTGCGAAACTTAACTAGTTGTGAGCGTTTGGGTATGTCTCAGAGCCTTCATATCCTCATCTCTAAATGACCCCTTCAGTACCACACTCATCTCACGAGGTTATTGTGAATAAAGTGGTGAAATAATGTAGTAGAGGACTTTCCTTTGCTATTACTCTGACCTTTCTAGCCCTTCAGAGCTTTGGGTACAAGGTAGGTATCCCCTAAATATAGACCTACCGTGCTTGATTGGGTGAGACTCTAAAAAGGTATATCCTGTGAAAGTGATGTAACACGTCCAAGAAACAGCCACCAGAGCCTCTGGTTTCCTGCTTTTCCAGGGTGTGGATTAAGTGGCCCGAATATACCATATGTGCAGGAATAATGGTGGTCTTCTGTCATGTTCACTGTTAGAATTTCAAAAAGCTTTTTCATCTCTGTATAGGAGTGATTGTATCAGTGTTGGCCTACTGGTATGACACCTTTAATTCTTAATTCTCTGAAAGTAGATCTAAGATAATTTTATCCCAATAATACTAACAAGGACTTTAAAAAAAATCTTGGCCATAGGTAAAGTTAGATTTAGCTCCTTTTCTTCTGGATGATTTTTGAAGAGCCCTATTCTTGATGGGAACTGTCTTTCATAGCAATGGGCTAAAAAAAATCCGGCATGACTCACTCATAGACCTTGAATCGAAGGACATATACACAAAGCAGGACATTCAAATCTTGTCCTTATTTTTTAATGGAAGAAACTATTCTTGAGATGAACATAATTCTACTAAGCATGAGCAGACTTTAAATCTTAGTGGGGCTTCTGTTATAGGGATTATGTGTTTGTGACTGAATCATTTAATTATATTTCTTGTGGTCTTCAGTCCATATAAGCTGACATTAGAGGCATATGTCCTTAGCAATTAATTTAATATATAAACTTATCTGCAAAAACTGTTGAACTGGAAGCAGTAGTGAAACTAAGGATTTAGAAAGAGCTAAATGGCCAGTCAGAAAGTCAGAATACTGATTTTGCATGGACTCTGACCAGATCATATCACTAATTGAAATATTTCCTGGGTGCAAGGGCATTTTGTAATGAAAGTCAAATACTGCAAGTAGATTTCCCCTCATAAAAGTTAATGAGATGCATAATCCTCTATCACAAATGGACAAAGTTCTGTCACAATATATATGGAAAAGAAGGACCCAGAAAATTTTGCATATTTCACCACACTGATCTGAATAGTTGTATGTTGTTATTCAAAGCTGAAATATATTTATAGATGCCAAGCACAATTTTGTCCAATATTCTGCATAGATGTTATAGTAATTTCATTACCAACAAAAAGCCTGTTTTCATTTAGTTGGTGGTGGAGTTGAATTGACCATTACTCACATTTTTTCCCATTCAGAAACCTGTCAGAACGACATGACCCCTGCCTAGGTGATTGAACTGAAAACTAGATAGTTTCATGTAGTTACTCACATGAGCAAGATTGTTCCTTCCCTTCATTTCTGGGAGTAACGTAACCCTTCAGAGCCCCATCCCGGTGTCCTAAGGAAGACATTTTTAAACATTAAACATCTTGACTCTTTATGTTTCTTTTGAAACATAATGCTCTATAATGCCCTAATTTTTTGGTCTGACATTCTTCAAGAAAGAGCCATATTCTTTCTTTGTTTTTCTTCTTTTCTTATGACTGATTGATTTTTCACAGCTTAGTGAAAGGACAGGTTAGCATGGTAAATAAAAACATTGGATTTGGAGCCAAGAAATCCTAGGTTAAAATCTCACCTCAGATACTTACTAGCTATCTGTGTGACCCTGAGCAGGTCACTTGGCTAACCTCTTTCAACTTCAGTTTCTTCATCTATAAAAATGGGCGTAATAATGGCAACTACCTTATAGATGAGGATAAAATGAAACAATGCATATAAAACAATTTTCAAACCTTAAAGCACTATATAAATGTTGGCTATTATCATTTGTTCTGAGAGTTTTCCCATTGTATACAAAGGAGGACTAATTGACTCTGGGATTCCCATTTGAAGTATGTCCTTGGTGGGTTTGAAAGAAACAAAGGAGCATCATAGGATCCCAGAGTAGACCAGGATCTAAGGGCTCATTTGATCCATCACCTTGCTAGCCTCATGAATCTCTTTTACAACATCTTTGACAATAGGCAAGCAGCCTGTGCTTGAAAATCACTGCAGCCACTGGATGCAACTCCTTCAACTTTTGAAGAGTTCTCATTGTTGGGAATTTCTTTCTTATATTGAACTCAAATCTAGCCCTCTATAATTTTCATTTGTTGATCCTAATTCTTCTCTTTGAGAACAAGTAGAGTAATTTTAATCCCTCCTATCCATAGCAGCCTTGGAAACATAGAGATACATAGAACATGGACTGCATTCAGGCATAATCTGGTGGAGCATTCCCAATGATCACTGAGGAGAAGGGGAAGATCCAGTGGGAATGTCCCAGTGTGCTGGTACGCCTGGCCCACACAGTTTGCATGCCTTTGCTTTGAAGTATTTACATAGAGTTCATTTGCTCCGTGAATCTTTTTGTAATAAGATAAGTACCCCCCATTGCCTTAACTCACCCCCATATTTCATGGTTTCAGGTTTGTCTACCAGCTTGGTTGTCTTCATCTGGACATACTACATATTGTCAAATGTCTTTCCTAAAATGTAATGCTCAGAGCTAAAAACAAGATTCCAAATGTCACCTGACCTATAACACAGTTGGTCACATTGCCCCCTTCTTATAAACACCATACTTCTATTCATCATAATATCACAGTTTGATTGAACTTGCATTCCACCAAAATTTCTAGATCTCTTTCACATACACTGTTGCCTAGCCATGTCTCCCTCTCCCATCTTGTACAACTGATTTTTGTTTATTCAAAACAGGAACTTCCCTAGATTAACAGTGTTGGGGGGATCTGAATTCTGTTTCTTGATATATTTGCATACTCTATTTCAAGTCACACACAAATACGATATTGTTTTTGCTGTACCAAACTGTGACCACCACTTTCCCAAACACAAATAATTCCTTTATACATTCTATAATTTCTTAAAGAATAGTAGTGGTCAACTTTGCTGGCTTATCTCTTTTTACTTCCTCACTTACCTTGAGTTTCAAGTCACTCTTAAATATTTTTCCATACTTTCTAGTATGTGTATAATTCTGCATAGAGACAAAAGTAAAGCCAGGAGTACAGTGCATCTCCTTCTTATTCTTGTTCCCAACTAGAGTTTTTTAAAGCTCTGTCTGGTGTCCTTAGCATTTTTATAAGCCCATGTAAGAATTTAAATTTACTGTATTAATAATTCATTAAACCCATTAGAACAGTAAGTAAGACTTATGACATCCATTTGGAATTTGGGCTTCCTACCAGATAAGGCAGTGCATGAGTACTAAGACATCCAACCAATTCTTTCTTTTGAGGGTGCCACCTTTACTTCTTCAAAAATAAGAACACTTCGCTTACTAAGGAATCTTCAATCTCCCCTCCCTGCCTTAGGAACACCATCATGTTATTTACCAGTGGTATAAGGTCTTACTCACTTCCAATATAGTTGTAAGCTTCTTAATAGTTTGTATGTGTTGTTGTTGTTGTTCATTCATCTCAGTCATGTCTTACTCTTTGTGACCCCATTGGGGGTTTTCTTGGCAAAGATACTGGAGTGGTTTGCCATTTCCTTCTCCAGTTCATTTTTCAGATGAGGAAACTGAGGCAAGCGGGGTGAAGTGACTTGCCCAGGGTCACACAGCTAGTAAGTGTCTGAGGCCAGATTTGAACTCGGGTCTTCCTGACTCCAGGCCTGGTTCTCTATCTGCTGCAATTCCACCTACCTGCCCTCCTAGTTCATGTACACATAGCTAAATGATGAATTTTTAAAATTCTGCATCTACTGTTTTCAAATGTTTTAAAAGTATTATGGTAATGTTGTAGTCATAAAAAACTGACACATAACTAACATGAGGCCCAGTCTTC